CTGCTGAGGTGCTGAAGCTCCACTGATGCTCATAGAGCAGAAGGGCTTCTCTGTGCTCTGTGCACGAATGGGTGCAGCTGTTGGCCTCTCTTTCCAACACCACCTAGCGTCCTTCCTGCTCAAACAAGGGTAAGTTAGTTTTCCTCTAATGGTCAACAGCGTTGCAGTCGGTTGGGTTCATGAAGTTGTGAAATTCTGTAAAACAAAGGAAGAGTTGAATCTTCACAACAGGGATCAAAAGGTGCGGTTGCTGAGCAGTGGAAATGACAGGTTGAAGAGTGATGGGGCAAGAGTACGTTCAGTGAGCTCCCACCCAGTATTGTGGCTGTGCTGCCGGCTGTGTGGTGCTCAGCCAGTGGTATTGAGCCCAGGCAGCTTACAGCACTGCATGGCTTGGTGTCACAGCGCCTGGCGTTGTCACACGTACAGAGCATTGGGCTGTGCGTGTGTCCCACTGACAAAATAATCAAAGGCAACAAAGTATGATGAGCTGCTGGCATGGTGTGGATTATGCTAATAGCATTAGGAGCAGGAGGTTGCAGTGGAGGGCACACGGTGTGGTCCCCATCTCATCTGTCCGATCCCCCCTGCAATGGCCAATCTCTGCTCCCTGCATCCAAGACAGATATTTGCCACTTTTGTTGAAAAAGCGATCCTCCTGGAAAGTCACCGGGGATGCCAGAACCTGCTGCCCACAAGACTTTGTTGCTGTTGTGGCTTTTTTTTCTTTCCCCTCAAAATGATGTTAGCCTGAAAGAAGGGCAAACCACTTGCCCTGAGCGCTGCTAAAGCCTTCTAATCTGGGAAAAGAGATTGAGTGGGGCTTTTTTCAAGCTGCTCTGTTCTCTAAAGGGCACTGCTAAACGACAGCTTCAGCAGGTTATGATGCTCAAAGGGATGGGAATGGAGGCAGAGTCCTGCAAGTCACCAGCGTGCAGCGCAGTGCGGTGTCTGCAGCTGAGCTGCCATGTGCCCGTGTCTGCCTGGAGGGGCTGCCTTTCCCTGAGGCTCTCATCCATCAGTCCCACCAGGGAGCTGGGGCTGCCAATGGTGCTCTCCTGCACCAACACGGTTTTAGGGGTTCTCTGCCACCGTTGTTTCTCTGCAGTGACGTCTGCCCTCAGTCCTGACTGCTGGGTGAGGTGCAAACGGCCACAGCTCATCAGGAGGGAGAGGGCACTGGTTCTTTCTATGCAAAGAACAAAACTTCCAGTGAGTAAAAAGCATCTCAGCTTCGTTTAATTTGCCTTTAAAATGCCCTGCTGCCTTTGGTGCAGAAAGGGGCGTTAGGCACTAAAATGTCTGAGAACATTTGCATTCAAGTCTTTTTGCTTTCCGTATTTTTGCAGACACATCATGCAGTGGGAGCTAATCCTGGTTTTTATTAAGAGATATTTGTTGTCCTTATGTCTGTGTAACGTAATGTAAGAGATGAGCTGAAATCTTCACATGACCTCGAAGTCTTCCGGGAGATTTATAAACTGCCTACTTCATATGTAAGAACGTTTGTTTTAATTCCCATATAAAAGTGAGATAAATTGGTTTGTGATAACACAAGCCCAGAAATATCTGAAGTTACCCATTTATTTCCATATTGCCAAATAACACCGTTCACTGCTTAATTACAATGCTGAGTTAGATAAAAGGAACTCTTGCTCCTGATTAGACTATGAATGCAAAGAATTAGCCTACAAAAAGTACTGCCAACTGCTAAAAAGTCTTTTCTAAGGAATACTGCTATCAGTTCAGCGATCATGGCCCAGCAATGCAAACCTGGGCTGCATTAGTGCAGACTGACAGGCCTGGTCCTGTGGTGCTTCGCTTCTGAGATCCATTCTCACTCGTACAAAATTGTCCACTGATATTTTTTGCACTATATAAATTGCTGGTTCTTAGATGCGTATTTTTGAGACCAGTCTGATTTTCTTTCAAGGTTTTTAGGGTAATTTTCATCATTTGCATGAATAGAGCAAGAATCTGCAAAATACCGAAATCTAAAATTCAAATGGGAATCCTTTATGTAAAATAGATGATAAGAGCTAGGTGTCTCTGCATGTGAATGATATCCTTAGGGCTTCCTTTTCTCCAGTGCAGCGCTTCAAAGTCTGATGCACTGGTAGCTGTAACGGCAGTGTGTTTAACACCAGGTTGGAATCCATCAGAAATGAGAGCCTGCCTGGGAAGGATGCGAGGGAGCGACCCCCAGGTGGCTTTGTCCTCATGGTGCAGCAAATGTAGCTTCAAACCTCAGTGGAATTGGGCTTGCAGACCAAAAGCACCACTTTAGGAAGCTTTGGTTTCTGCTGGAAGCACTCAGCTCAGCCCTAGTTCTCGTTCACTTCAAGTTAGAGCCTCCCTTGCTGAATCTGCTTCTTAATTTCTTAATTTCATCTCCAGTTTGGAAACCGGGTTTCACTCGCCATCTATGAAAGGTACGTATGAGTTATCAGACCTGCATTGTTGGTTAAATCTCATTCTTTGTATTTTAAATCACCAATTTGCATTCATCTAAAATGCTTTCAGAGAATTTATCAGAAGAAGCGAAATAAGAAATGAAATAGTTTCATGTAAACTGCATTTTTATGTTTGACTGGTAAAGCCACAAAGCAGAGATAAAATACATAAAACTAAGGTTCTGCATAATAAGCATATCTCTTAGTTTCCCTTATCTTTATAAAGCTCCCATTTGTCATGAGAAGCATTATGTGTCACTCATCCTGCCTTGTTCTACAAAAGCTCTTTTCTCGCTCTCCTTTTATCTCCCATCGGCGATTCCCAGGCAGGAGCCTTTGCTGGCACACTGCTGCAGAGGACCCCACTGCTGGGATAACTGCACAGCGGGCTGACCTTCCGTCCCATAGCAGCATGGGGAAATGGTGCTCAGTGCCTGCATGCACCTAGTTAAGAGGCTCCAGGCACGGATGGTGATGGCAGCAGCCCTGCAGGGTGGGAGCACTGGGGAAGTCGCACTGGGAGCCCAGACATGGAGCAGCCCATGGGGAATGGCTGAGGAATGCTGCAGCCACACTGCTGAGCTCCAGCACCCACAGCTTAGCACACAGCCCAGCAGCCATGGCTGAGCAGCACTTCCCAAGGAGCGGGGCAGAGTGCTTCTCTCAGAGCGTGGTGTTCTGTTCCCAAAAAGAGGTGTTGGCATCACATCTCAAGGCAAACAGCTGCTCCAGGATGCAGACAGTGCCTGGCAAAGGTAACAAATACTTCTCTTGCTGAGGATCCGTTTGAAACCTTCTTGGTGTTTAGTGCTTTTCAAAGTAGTTCCTGCTCAGCCGCATGTCTCCTTTCTGAAGGCTCCAGTGCTGTCACACTGTGGGTATGGCAGCTGCTGCTCCTCACTCTGTGCTGACACAACACCAGGTCACATTGCTGGCCAGTTTGTCAAAGCTCCTACGGGGAGCAGTTGGCAGAGAGGCCAAAGGAGAAATAGGAGCAGAGTGGATAAAGTTGGCAGTCCAACACAGAGGTGGTGTTTTTGCCTGCAGAACACAGTGTGTTATGCTGCAGTGCTCAGCCAGCAGCTTTATTCTGTCCTCCAGTGGTCCAAATTCCTGCTTTCTCTGTAAGGATTCTTATGTTCTCCAGGGAAGCGAGGTTGCAGAACAACACTGTGTGTTTTTCACGACATGGCTGCATGGTGGGACTTGGCCCAGCACTGCTTCACAGGGTAGGATGGGATTTGTCCTAACGTTCCAGCACTGACAAAATTCTGATCACATCAGTGCCATTCCCTTCTGATAACGGGTACAGAAATGTTGAGAAGGCACTGCAGTCTTTGCTTGTGTGCTTTGGTATGGAGAGACGTCATGCACAGCACATTTCTTATGTTTTCTGTAGGCACCTTACTGCTTCTAGTGGTTGTCTTAATGAGTCTGATAGCAGCAGTTATGGAGATATAACAGCAAGTCCAGAAACATTCATATTTTTCCAAGTGCGGAACTTTGGAAGTATCTGAGCAGGGTCAGCATTTTCCTGTGCCGTTGTATTTATTTATTGAGCTCTTCCAGCAGAAATGCAAACTGATTAGCACTGAATAGCAGGAGAAGAGAAAACAGTGTTCTGAAGGAATTGCCCACAGTGTGTATTATCTTCTGCACGTGAATGGATGTACCATATATTTACCTTTTGAGCAGGATCTGCAGGGAGTTTACTTCTTCTTTCAGCTCCTTTGCACCTGTATTGTGCTGTCTCTGTGCCTTTTAACTCACAATAATCGTTATAGTTCACTTATCAAGTGTTTCCTCTAAAAGGTAATTAAAAAAAGAAAGGCTTTTCTGCTTTCTGTGTTTGCAGAGTACACTTGGCAATCCTTGTGTTCCTTTGAATACTCATCTCATGAGAGCAGCTGATCTCCAGCTTGCACATACACAAGGTTTTCATACTAAACATAGCTGAGCATTGGGAACACACAAATCACTGTGTATTGTCTGCACAGTTATTTCAATGTACAGAATTAAAGCATACTAAAAATAATTTTAAAAACCTTCCTTTTTTTTTTACGGCAAGTTTTTACTAACCCATATTATTATGGATTTAATGCTCTTCTTTTATAACTTAGAGTAGACGTAAGTTGCAGTTTATACCAGTTTTATTGAAATCCACATCTGTTCTTCGTTCTGTAAGTGGAAGGAAGCTGTGAGTGTGTGAGAGGGGTTGTGTTGGTGCAGGCACTGAAGTTCTGCGGTAGCTGCTGGCTGCTGCACGTCACAGCAGTTTGCAGCACAGTTCTTGGCTCACGCATATTTGGGTCGAGCTCATTAAAAAAGCGATTTAAAAAGAAGAGTAATTTGTATGGTTAACAAGGTCAGCGTGCCGTGTTACAGCCCCAGAGCACCCATGTGAATGCTGAGAAGCCCAATGGGTCGGAGCAGCCCTGCTGGGCCGTGCTGCCGTGAGCCCAGGGCTGTAGCCCACGTTCTGCTGTAAGCGCTGCGCCCGCTGCCCAGTCTGGTCTGTAACAGTGCCTCATGTGTTCTGTCTCCTAGCTCTACATACAAACTACCACACTTACAATATCCATGAACCTAAGTGCTTCAGTGGCCCTGGGGATGCTTTACATGCCGAAAGTGTACATCATCATCTTCCACCCCGAGCTCAACGTGCAGAAGCGGAAGCGCAGCTTCAAGGCCGTGGTGACGGCCGCCACCATGTCGTCCCGGCTCTCACACAAGCCCAGCGACAGGCCCAACGGCGAGGCCAAGACGGAGCTCTGCGAGAACGTGGACCCCAACAGTGAGTACTCAGCTCTGCTTCGTGCCGTGCGCGCGTTAGAGACCGTGAGCAGCGCCGGAGTCCTGGGGAATCCGTGCCGTTTGCCCTTTGCATTTAAAGACTTTTGATGGCCCAGCTTCGGTTTGCGCGAATTTCTCTCTTTCCTCCTCGCTTTTTGAGTCCTGCTGGTTGGCAGCACGTGAGGGAACCTCCTCCTTCCCCTCCTCTGTGCCAGCGCCCTCAGGTGCCGCAGCACCTCCAGCCTGTGCCACAGCAAACCCTGCAGGCTGGGAGGAGGGACAGGCGCTGAGCTCACCGGGAGCCCCGTTAACCTGAGATACAATTATGGCTCCTGCGAAGTTTCTTTGCCAGAATCTTCACCATCCTTGAAGGTTCCCATGTACGGGCTTGATCCGGTCCTGTAAAACCGAATGCAAATTTTGTCATTGATTTAAAAGGAAAACAGATCAAAAAGATGCTGCCAATTTCCTCAATGCCTGTACTGTGGTATACTGTAGCACAAAATTACATACTGAGGCCATCATGTATTTGATTTCCTTTTGAATCTGGAGGGAGCTGAGGAAGGAGACAGCTGCACAACTTTGTAGCATAGTGGAAAGGTTTGGGCACGTCTGCAGTTTTTATGAAAACCAGATCTGAATGTGGAGGAATGCCCTCTGCCTGCCTGTGATCCGTTTATCCATTTGCTGATGCAATTTCTGCCACTTCTTGTCTATTAAACTGCTGTCTGAATATTTGCCTCAAAGCAGAAACTCTGCTGTCAAAGCAAAGTGGGAGCAGCCAGCAAATTATTGTCATGGCACTTTTCCTCCCTGTATTCACCCCTGTGTGTTGTTTCTGCAGTGCCTTATCATACAGGTGTGCTCACTTGGTGGATGGATTGCCCCTGCCCTGCACCCGGCCCACGGCAGGGGTTGGAACTCTGATCTTTAAGGTCCCTTCCAACCCAATCCGCTCTATGATTCTATGAAACCATATTCTGACTGGAAAAAAAAAGAATCTGCCTTCAGAAACTGTGAACTGTCTCACAGTTCTGGCAGAATCAAAAGGGAGCGAGGAAATGTTTCTAACAAATGAAGGACCGTATCATGCCTCCTCTGAGCAGAACCTTCACCGCTCAAGGAAATAAATCTACTGTGTTAGGGTATTGGTATTATATTTGGTATTGTAGCCAGAGTGGGAGCTGCAGAACACTGTGCTACACTGCATGGCTGTCAAAGGCTGCTAGGAAGCAGCCCTGCCCTTCCACCCCTAATTCTTCAGCTATGATGCTGGGGTTGAGCCCTCCTGCATGAGGAGCAGCTCCTCTGTGTGTTGTCTGGGGGGGGGGGGGAAGGAGGAGGAAAGGTGAGGAGGGAAGCAGGCCCTGAGGGCTGATAGGAGAGAGTTGGATTCGCTGAACTGCGTTGCGCTGATGGCTGTGCAGGTCCAATGAGTTGGGGTGAGTTTCTCCTCCAGAAAAGAAAAAAAAAATCTAAAAATTTGCACTTAAAGAGATAAAACACGCAAAAAGAAAAAAAAAAAAGTTCTAATGCGGAAATGTTCAGTGTGGTAACAGAAGCGTTGCCCTGTGGGACTGCAGTTTGGGGGTTTCACACTCTTGGTTTCCCCTTCTGGTCTCATTCTCTTGAGCTGCATTTATTTGCTGTTTCCAGGCTTCGGAGGATTCTTTCCTCCCCTTCCCAAAATCAGTCACATTTTTCCCTGGAAGGAAATATTTTTATTGACCAGGACTCAGTTAAACCCCCGTATTTCCTATTAAAAATCATTTTTACACCCAGGGACTGTATGCCAAGATGTGCTGTTAAGAGGCAGTGAGGGGTGCATTCCTCCCCTGCACGATGTGTGAGTTTCTGCCCTAAGAATCCCACCTTCCAGCCCAAGTTGTTGGCCCTGCTGGGAAGTCTGTGCACAGTCTGCTGGGAGAGATGCCATCCCAGCTTTGAAATTGAGGTAGCTGACAGGAAAGGGCTTTCTGTGGTCTCCTTGGCTTACATATAGGACTCAGAAGAGTACACATTTGCTTGTAAGAGCTTGCCAGTCAGAACATGTGCAGTTGTTAAATGGTTTTCTGCAGATCTTGGGCTTTTCAGTCTGTAACGTTTGCAGAGAACGTTATCTTTTAAAACTTCTAATTAATTACACAGATACATGTATCAACCTATGTTCATATTACATGGTGCACCTCCCACTGTTACGTCATCCCTTGCATGTATGTTAATATGTACTACTAGAAGATCAAATGAAATGCACTACTGCTGTACTTGAAGTAGCAGGGTACATTTTCCATCCCCACAGAGCACTGCTACATCTGATGGGAGCTTTGCATGGTGTTCAGTGGGATGTCAATCAGGCCCCTAATGAGACAACATTCTGTGTGTACATCTATGGAGCAGTTTGTTGAATACCTGAAATGAGTCTCTTTTTTGCTCTTTCAGAGTTGGCTGTGAGCCCCACTGCGAGCTGGGCTGGGGAGTGGGGGACATGGCCAGGGGTGGGCAGGGTCCCAGTGCTTAGGAGAGGTGGGCTCAAGCTGGGATTGCAGAGCCAGTATAGAAGAAGAAACCACACTAATGTGGCTGGAAAGCCACTGGAAATGCAGCGATCCCATGTCCTGCCCTGTTGGAGGAGCAAGGATCCATTGTGTTGCAGTTTTTGCTTCAGGATGTCTCAGAAGTGAGAAATTTCACTGGCTGAGCCCCCGAGCCCTGACCTGGGCTCCATGCTGAGTAGGTTATATTAAGGCCCCGCTTTTCAGTCTGGAACTTTGTCACTCTCTTAATCATTCCAGTTTTCCATTTGCCATGGGCACGCTTTTACTCATCCAACAGCTTTTTTCTGCTAATGCATGTTTGCCTCTGAAACATTGCGCAGCGAAGTTGAGCAGAAACTGGGGGCACAGCAGCTCTGTCTGTGCAATGAGTGCGTTGTGTGCTGTGTGTCCTTGGTGGATTTCTGTGCTGGGGCAGATGCTTCTCATTGAGCCTGAAGCTGAGCTGGTAGTGGTGCTCCTGCTGGACTCTGCGTTTGTTTCTGCTGCAGCAGTGGTGTCAGACTCTGAGAAAACATTTGAACCTCCAACCCATACTTAACTTGTATTGAGATTTACATGTAATTGTTCCTTCTCCTTAGCAACCTGCCTTAATTCATGGCTTTTCCAAACGCAGCAATGGGGAAATCAGCATCTCAGTTGTTCGATAATAAGGAGGTTGTGCTTCTCATGGGCTGGACCAGCAGATCTTCCTGCTCACCATCAATGAGAGTGGTTGTGGACAGGTTCATCCTCATCTTTTGCTCTTTTGTGCTATGCTGATAAAGCCCTGAGGCCAAGAGATGTGTTGCACCCCACTGGTAAGTGCAGGCAACAGGAGGTGTGCAGCGTCTCTGGCAAAGCCGAGGACACCCATGTGGCAAAGAGCAGCTGGGAAGGAATGGCAGCATGCAGGAGGAGATGTGAGGAGTTGTGCTGAGATCTGGTGAGAAGCAGCGAAGGATTGAGTCCCTGTGTGCCAGCCATGAAGGTTAAGATTTGAATGGTTAGAAGGATCTGATTTTCAGCAGCACTGTAAGCCTGTGGGCATTCAAGTTAGCAGGAGCTTTGAGGACTCAATACGTACTCAAGCATCTTCAAAATGGTTTTATTTTTTTTCCTTTCTCCTCTCCTTAGCATTAAGTAGAAACTATTTGGCAGTTGATTCAATTTCCAGGAGTGAAGTGAAATCTCTGCCTGTTTTTCTAGAAACATTTCCATTTTAGAATATTGCTTTCCTGCTTGCTGCCACCTCCTAACTCTGACCAGCACGATGATGAGAACAGGGCACGTCAGCCCTCGTTTTTCTCCATGTGTTGGGAATGGACATTGACTTTGTCATCAGTAAAGTGTGAATAGTAAATGTGGGTTGCAAACATCTCTGCAGATGTACAAACACTGCTATGCAAATGCTGCCGTGCTGCGCTCTGCTCTGCTCGTGTGTTCATCCGTGTTGATTCTTAACATCACTGACATGACATTGCCTATTCCATTCTCTGACGAGAAGAAACTAAAACGCTTGTCAATGATGCTGAGGAAACCAAGAGTGAGCTCAGAGATGCAGAAGGACTGGGGAATGTTAAATGGAAACCAAAATGCTCTGGAGTTTGTTCAGGGGAGAGGAAAAAATTCAACCAGATCTGCTCTGCTGTGAGCAGCTGCTCTCATGCTCAGAGGTACCCGAACTTCTATGAACTGGTTCCTTTATTCCCAGCCCAGAGCTGATTTCGTATATCGGTGTACTGCTCTCCTCTGAGCTTTTTGGTCAGATTAATATCATGGCTCCAATGACAGGGAAAAATTTGAAGAGTTTATTGTGAACAGATGCATTGTACATACCAATGTATTTACTTTTCCTGTAGACTGCATACCACCAGTAAGAAAGAGTGTTCAAAAGTCTGTTACTTGGTACACTCTTCCACCTACTGTATAGCTTTTGCCTGCTTTCCAAAAAGGTAAGGAAAAAATCTAGCTTACTATTACTTTATTCTCAAATAATTATTGTCTCACATGAATAAATGAGGAATGTGCATTAGTGCAGCTACGTCAGAACAAGAGTCTGCCTTAAAAATTGTTCACACATCCTCTGCCGAAAGCACCCACGCAAAGGGCGTGCTGCAGGAAGGGCAGAGCAGAAGTGGGCAGTGCTCAGCCAGTGCTGCAGGAGGGCAGGAGCCTGGTGGGCCCTGCAGCCCCCTTGGGATGTGGGTCGCAGGAAACCCTCTGGAGGCGCTTGGTCCTTTTTCACATTGTTTCAAGTACCTCTAAACCACCAAAATGTGATTATGGCAATCAGATCGAGCCGCTAACAGAATGCTTTTGGGGTTGCCTGGCGGTGTGGAAATAACAGATGTGGATGTGCAAGCACTCTTTTTTACATTGTGAATTGCCCCAAAATAAGTTTGCAAACTACTTTTTTTCCTTCACTGCGGGTGACTGCTTCTGAATAACCACAAGTGAACAATTTTTGAGGGCTGGCTTTTTCTAAGTGTTGTGACTGCCTGCGTGGTCATCTCTTGCACTGATGTCGTCTTTGTGACTCCATGAACCAGAAACTGCTGTTTTTCTAGTGAAATCAGGGGAATGAGAAGCTAACAGCCATTAATAATTATTTCTCATATCTGCAGCTGTGTGTGCTCATCCAGCTTTGCCTGCTCCTTTGAGGCTTTGGCCAGGTCTGAAAGGCACTGCCCTGGTTGCTGTGGTGCTGTGCAGTCAGGGCTAGAAGAAATTGCTGTATATACAGCTTTCAAAACCGTGTTGAGCTTATCCCTAATAGGTGGGCACTTGTATCAGCAAAGGTAGGAATGTTGCTAGAATTGAGTCACTGAGTCACAGGGCAAAAATAAAACCCGGCTCTAATAACCTTAGCTGGTGTAAATTGCCACAGCTCCAGTTTCAATTCAGCTTGAGTTCTTGTGAAGTGTTCAAATTGCTTTTTATTGTGTTTGAATCATGCCTGTTATTCTAACTTGCCCAGCTCTGGCAGAAAGCCTTATTTAAGGTGTGCTGCTCTGTGTGAGCATCAGAACGACTGGCTTAGCTGAGGGCTGAAGTCTGGAAGGTTGGTGGTTGGTGTTGAGGGAAATATGAGAGTAGTTGGAAGGGAGGAGGAAACGCTCAGAGTGCCATTGCAAATGTAATGTGAAAGAGTAAAAGGTGACCACGTGGAGATGACATTGCTAAAGGAAGGAGAGCAGGACCATGAGAGACTGAATCTTGGGAGAGATCACCTTTTTGTGTAAAACCTTTGAAAAGTGTTTAAAATGTAAGGCATTAGGAGCCAACGTGTTTCCAAAAACAGGTTTTATAAAGATAAATGTAACATTGCCATATAATGGAAGGAACCGGTGTCTGCAGAGGCACAGAGGTTTTGTCATCCACACCCTACAAAAGGCAGTTGGCCATTCAGATTCTTTGCTCAGATTCTTTGTTCAGATGTTGAGATCTGCACTGTGCAGAGCCATGAAATCTGCCTGCTCTGCAGCAGTTCTGCATTGGGTGCCTTTCTCTGCTGCCCTCACGAATGCTCCTTTCCAGCTGGGCTGGCTGCTGGAGCTCTGCTGTGTTTTGACTTGTTTTTCCAGTAATATAAAGCAAAACAAAAAAGTCAAAGAACACGACGCTACATTAAAAGCAAAGCAGTGACATTGGGAAAACATCAACTTAGTTGTAAATTGACTTTATTTTGGTAGTAACATGTTTGTATGTCAGTATGAACATGGTGCTTAAATGCTGCTTGACTGTATCAATTTCTGCTACGTGCTGCATGGAAGGATGTTTATAATGCTTTTAAACCGTTTTCTTTGAGTGACAAATAGGACTTCTTTCCTCGTGAGACTGATTAAAATACAGGGCTTGAAAAACTCCACGCAGTCTGTGGGTCAGGAGGACAAATCGCCATCGCCCAAATGAGGCAGAGAAGCACAGAGTGCACAAGTGCTGCACTCCTGTCTGCAGCCCGGCCTGGTGCTCCTGCCAGCGAGGGCTGCGAGATGCTTACATGGAGCAGATGGACCCCTTCTGCTTCGTGCTGAGGTTCCCCCACCTCACCCTGTGTGCCAGTCTGGGAGAGCTGGGTGCTGCCTGTGGCCGGCTGGCCCATGGAGCAGGCTGCAAGCTCTGCAGGGCACTGCAGGCTCAACTGCAATTACCTCCCAGCACCTGTGCACACCCTCTTCTTCCCAAGGCTTTCTTCTGCTTGACAAGCTGGTTTTTTTGCTCAATTTGTATGTAGAGGAATTTCCATGGTGATTGCAAAGTGCTGGGATCGTTGGTGAGGTGTGTGCAGCACCGCGTTACGTGAAGGCGTTACATTGCTCAGTTGTGCTTCTGGGATGCATGTGCCATTGCTTAGACTGTGCAGGAATGAGGTGAGCCATGACGTGACTACAGACCAACATGCTGGTGCTGCAAGAGGCAAACAGGTCAAGCAGCCCCTGGGCTGTGCAGGAAGCCCTGTCCGTGGGACCTGGCAGCTTCGTGTCCAAACTGCAGGTTGCTGCAGAGCTCATCCCGCCTTAGAGTGTGCAGCGGAGAGCCATTATTTTCTAGATTGAAGCACCATTTTCATTTTAAATCCCACTAGTTTCATCCCAAGAAATAGTGCTCTGTGTTTAACCTCACTTGAAGGATTTTCTGTTCAGTGCGACTGCTAAGAAATGAGAATACGCAGTGGAAATTGATAAGTGAAAGACTTTGACAGGTCTTCACTGCATTTATTTATATTCTAGAATAACTTACTGAGAAATAAACATTTATCATAGATTTCTCCTAGCCTTGATATGCTCGCTTTATAAGCAAGGCACAGTTGCATCCGAACAATCATCTTCTGTGCATGGGCTGCAGCACCCTGTCTGGAGGATGGATTCCAAATGATATGATTTCATGCCTGAGGGGCTCAGGCACCAAATGCATGAGCAAATTAACCTCCTTATTTAGCAAGTTTTTCAGGTAAAGTTGGTTTTTTCACCCCCTGCTGAGAAGGATCTGTTCTTGAATAACACAGCCTTCCCCCATTTCTTCTAGCTGAGGAAAATAAGAGTTCTGAACTATTGATCTGAACGATTGAACTATTGAAACTTGAGTTGGGGGTTATAAGTTGCTTCCTCTGCAGCAGCTTTGCGCTTTGGTTTCAGTTACTTCTTATTGTAAAACCTGAGTGTTTTTCCTGCCGTTCTTAACTGATCCTTGAGCTGCTTTTTTCTTTTGGTTTGGACTTGGCACAAGGAGCTGGGCAATAAATGGGACATGGGGAACATCTCTTGCACCTCAGCTGCATCGCTGCAGGGTCAGGGCCGGTGTGACTCCTGCTGGGCACTGCTGTCTGTCGATGGTCCTTCAAACCATGGCCAGGCTTTGTCTGCTCCCGTTTGCAAGCAAGTTGCAGCAATGGTGGCATCTGTGAAAGACTCAACAAGAATGTTTCTTTTTGTAACAGTTCGAATTGTCGTTTGCATTTAATGAAGTTTAGAATCTTTTAAATATTATCGACGTTAATTCTTATGCATCTTTGAATAAGTTGGATTTTCTGCTCTTGTGCCACACTGCAGACTACAGGAGATTTTTTTATTATCCATTTCTTACAGCTCAGAAATGATTTTTCTCCCTCTTCTCACGATCAGTACGTACTGTTTTTGCTGAGCTGCCTCTGGAGCGGTCAGGACCTGTTGCAGACATGCCTGTGGTCAAGAGATGAAAGCAGGGCTCTTTATCCAGCCCTTGTGCTCCCATACTTTTGCAAATTCCAGCTAGGAACCGAAATGGAGGTATTTATTTCAGAAATTACTTATGTATACACCTATTTTCTGAGCCCAGCTACGTCCGATGTGGTTCCCTCTTTAATAAAGAAAAAGAAGCAGAATTTCTGTCTAAGAACATACCTTCTTCCTCATCCTTCACCACCCCACAATTCGCGTTTATGCATTCCATCTGCATTACAGTTTTTACCCATCTCTCAAGCTCTCAATATCGATTTGAATCAATGTTTTCCTTCAGGTTTCATACATCTGTGGCAGCATCTTGCTGCCCAGCAGCCAGGCCGTGCCAGGAATTATTCTCTCTCTAAACGTCTTATGAGTTGTACAAGTGATTTTGCAATTATTCTCCTCAGCAGTGCAAAGTTGGACTCCTCTCATGATGTTTCAAGGTTTGAAGGGTATCCACTGCGGTGAATAACTATTTCTTATGCCACCACCACAGTTTGTATGGCTGAGAGAAGTCTGAGTTATTTAAAGCTTTCCTTTGAAACCTCTCAGAAATAAATCTGATGCAACTAGACCTTGACCGAGGCTTGAAGGCAGGTCTGGGGCAGCCAAGTTTTGTCTTTTTGGCTTCAAGCACTGTTGGACTCGAGTTACTTACAAGATTTATTTTGCTTACTGCTATCATGTGGGCAGGAAATCTTGCTGGAGAAGCTGTGTGTATGGCACTGCAGAGCAGGAAGGAGCAGTGGGACGCTGGGATCCTGCAGCACCCAGGTGGGCACAAAGCCTGCAGCCCATAGCAGGCCCTCCTGTTTGCATGCACAAGGACAGGGCCCGTTCTGTAATGCTGCAGAATACCTGGTGCTGGTGATGTGCTTTCATACATCCACTCTGTTGCATGCTCCCAAAGGGATGTTTTACAGGCTGTCTCGTGCCTTTTATGATACAAGGCTGCAAACAGGTGAGGTGTTGGTCTGTTTCTGCAGAAAAATGATGGAATCCTTTAAGTACTTAAATAATGACCCTGTAGTGTGAGGTTTGAACAGTGCTAATTGTACACGTTATTCTTGGCTGTAGATGCTTTGATTATGACAAACCTAGATAGCTGATAGATATCTTTGAGACACAGATGAGCATTAATTCTTTTATTAGCATTAGCATTCCTCTTCTGTTCCATTCTTTGTCCTTTTCTGTGATCTTTTCTCCCAGGAAATCTGGAAGAAGAGCAAGCTGCAGATTCTGCATGTGTG